AATTCACCGGTTATTATCAATTAGATATCACTTCCCTGTAGTTCACGTAAATCCTTTGTTAACATCGTGTCCCACACAAATACATTACTAAGGGGCAGAAGGATTTACAGTGCAATTTTACATCTTAATGAGATGTAAAATGTCATGATACAGTAAAAATGTAAGCAGCAGGTTATTTAACAACATGCACACATAGCACATCAGTCTAGCAAGCTAGGACTTATCTGGTTTTCCCCACATGATAAAAATTTCGAGCACTTTTGCTTATTAGAAGTTCACCTTCTTTGGTGAAAACTATCTTCTATAATGCCCATAAAAACGGGATAAATGCTACACAAAATATCACAAAATCATCAACTGTGAAAGACAACAGAAATTTGAGCAAGCTGCTTCAAGAACGCCTTGCAGTTATACTGCTCATTTAATACACAGCTCTCTGCAGCATGTGCATATCTCATGGAAAACATTCCCCATGGAAAGAACAAAGCTATCATAACAGCAACACGATCATATGAATATATATCTATAAAAAACAACTGTTCTTAAAAGGACCGGTCACTTAGATGGGCGAAAGAAACACAACATTTGCTCTCATTCGGCACTCTGATCCAAACTACTGGCTTCTCAGCTAACACTAAAACTCAGCCCACTAAACAGTTCAGCCTTATTATGCAAAGCTACTTATACCACGCAACATTAACATTTCTATGAATACCACACCCATACACTATATAGCTTTACTGCATCTTTACTTATTCAAAAACATTATGCCACTTTTCCTCACAGTGAGTAGTATCTTGTTGATTAGACTTACTGGCATCATGGGTAGGCTGTGAATAAAACATCACTTAACCGCAAGTAAAACTGACAGAATTAGGGTTAAAAATATTGCTTTAATTTTGCCATCTGCTACATGCCCCTTAAAAATAATGAAAACGTGTAAAAGAGTTGCCTATAGTTTGATAGTATTAATTGAAAACGAAAAATCCATAATGATCCATGAGTGTAAAATATACATTAAAAGTTTAACATAAAAGCTGAAGTTTGAATAAACACTAGTTTGGGTTTTTGTAAGATTTATACGCAGACCTTCAATGCTTCCATTTCAAAGGCTGAAGTGGAAAAACACAAAACAAAATATTTACAAGTACTTCCCCAGAAATACATTTCCCTAAGATTCACTGATACAAAAGACCCATGCTTTTGGTTTTCAGAATTTATCATGAGACAACAATAAGAGATGACAAAATAACTGAAAACAAAGATCAAAAAAAGCGACCTTATACAAATTCCTAGTCATAGAAAAGACAACACTCAAAGATGTTTGGGGTTGTTTATTTTGGGTTTTGTTTTGCTTTTTAAAAAGCAAGAAGAAATGTAGTATAAAACCCCCAAACACTACGTATGCACAAAAAACCAGCACCTTAGTCCTGAAGCGTACGTAACAGGGTAGATTTGGATTAACGTAATATTCAAGGTGACTATACGGTGCCAGCATTAAGTCTAGTTAAAAGTTATTTGCAATATATCTGATTCAATACACTGCAAAACTTGAAAGTATGCAGTGGCAAATTTTTCTCATCAATTCATGGAACATTACGCCAGTAACGACCACAGATTGATCACAGAGCTGAAGGCCCACAGGACCAACAGTCAGAGATGGATCTCAAATTCCCATATGGCATTAGTGAAAAAGAAGTAAGAACAGCTTTTGAATTTCAAAACAGATGTACTTTAACAGTAAAACACAAAGCATAAATATGTACTTATAGAAGAAAAAAATGCCGCTAAAATTACTTTTTTTAAAGCTCAGATTGATGACCAAAGCATCTTATTTTCTTGGAAAAGTCTTCTATTTCCATTGGCAAGGAGTTTTTAAAACATTTACATCAGGACAGAAAGCTATGCGCACACAAAAACTTTCAAACCAGACCCAGCGCTAAGTTCACTTTGCATTACTTTATGCATTCACTTACTCACCTTGAGAAAAGTTTCCTGTATCATTTATTTATTTATATCATTTAAAAACATCAGCAAGTGTGTAAGACTAATTGCTATGTCTGTATTACATGCATTTGTACATTTAAACAAATAAAATACCTATGTATTGTTTTATCAAACAGTAAAATATACTAGAAATAGGATAAAATAGCACTGCGACCTAAAGCAAATATACCATTTGGCCACAAGAAGTAGCTCCCAGTTCTGCAGGTCTCACCTTATACATAGAAATCAGCAAACTGATTAATTACAGGGATTTATAAGGATTGTTTTTTCTTCCTTTTCCCTTCTCCCCCCAACCTCAATGGCATTTCTGCTTCTCTAGTTTATGCTGTAACAGACACATACACTTATAAAGTCCTATGTCTTTCCACTCAATACTCTTGTGTATCAATTCTTAGCACGGCACTGTCCTTCTGCCCTGGCTCACCAGTAAAGCGCTTATTGGCTGCCAGCACGGGCATGCCCTGCACAGCTTACAAGGGTATATGGGTAAGAAAGAATAACAGTATCATTTATTTGGTGACCTCCAACTTACAGAGCATCCCTCCTCTTCTACATAGAAAGTTGCAGTACTATTAGAGTATTCTAGCATTAAGTTAGATTTTGATCATTTGTATTTTAGTTCTAATGTATCAATCCCTTATTTAAATAAAATTATGACTGTCAGCATTTACTGTTAGGATCCCTTTCTAGATCCCATTAAGGCTAATTCCAAACAAAATAAAATGGAATTATTTAGTATAAAAAGTTTCCATTATTTATCCCTTTCATGAATCATTTAAAGACTTCATGTCAGCAACTGAAAACATTCATGCTGATCTCACAAAGAGTAGACAATATATTATGCATGCTGCCCACTGATTTATCCTTTCAGAAAGTCTCTTGCAGGCCACTTACCAATACTGCCACTCACTGTCTAAAATATAAATAGAAGTGCTTCTAGAATACATAAATAAATAATAATTACCTATGGTTAAAACCAGCAGGCTGTTAAAACCAATATCCTGCGTGACATGAGCTCATACCAGATGCTGCAGAGAAAGGTATTCTTGAGAGGACTACTCTGAAGCAGTACATCCATTATTGAAGAGCCTTCCTCAACTCTTTCTTCGGCTGGTTTATCAACGCAAGTATTTGGCTTTTGTCATGCTTAAAACAAAATTCCACACACCCCCCTCAACTACACACACTGCCCATGCAAACAGCTATTCACTTTTTCTTTAAATCCTATTTGGTCTTCAATCAGAATCATTTTGCAGCAACAAGCCTTGCAACGTTTAAGAAGTCAAGGACAAACTGCACATCATGTAACTTCTTCCATAAGAAACTGGAACAGGTTGATCAGACAAGCTGTGGATGGCCCATCCCTGGAAGTGTCCAAGGTCAGGCTGGACAGGGCTTTGAGCAGCTAGTGAAAGATGTCCCTGCCCATGGCAGGGAAGCTGGACTAGATGGATGACCTTTAGAGGTCCCTTCCAACACAAACCATTCTATAATTCTGAAGTCTTTGACTTGCCAGCTGAAGACCAGTAGCAAGGTTTGCCTACACCACAGAGAGCAGTTAGCTTCTGAAGATCAGAACTCCTCAGGTTTGGTTGTAGGAGAAATTCCTGTTTCAAGAGGGCAACTTCACATGTACAAGCAATGTCAACAAGTTCCACAGGATTATCCGTGTGCGAATTATTCATGAATAAGCACTTACTGAATCAAGATCTTAGCGTTCACAAGAATAGTAATTTTTGCTTGCATTTCTTAACAAGTAATGGAAAAGATAGGATTAATTTTGAATTGTTCTAAGGGTAATTTTATTGCCACAATAATAACCCCACTTAAATATACAGGCCAATTATATTTGAATGAATAGTGCAAATAATTATTTTGTTAGTCAATTATCAGGATGACAACTACTGCATTTTATGGTAAAAAAAAAAAAAAATAATCAAAAAAGCTTAAAATCACCCCCACCCAAACCAAAATCCAACTTGATCAAACCTCTCCAGCAGCAACAGCTTGTACTGTGCTATTTAACTGGCGTTACTCCAGTAGCATAAATTTAAGAGTCAGCTTTATGTTGAAATGCAATACGTGAAAATTGGGGGAAAAATCCCACACCTACAGCTGTCACCTAAAATTAAACACAACATTTTTCTTCAAATCCCAAGTGTACTTTCAAAAAGGTGCCATGTTCATATTTAGCTACTGCACTGCCATTAAGAACACATTTAATCTACAACAGATAAACTAAATTCTTTCATCCAAACATGCTAAAAAAAATTAACAAAGGTGAAAACCAGGTGTAATTATCTACATGTCTCAAAACAGTGATTATTTATTTCACTTTAAGAGTAACCTATAACTTAGGAACATTTTCTTTTTGCTCCTGTTGTAATTTGCAACACAGGCCAAAAGAAATAAACTACACATATTTTGGAGGGGGAAAAACCGCACCCTAAATTAAACAGACTGGTGTTAGATAGAGTAATTCTATGTAGAGAGATGTGCACTATTGGAATAGTACCAACAAGCTGACTTGTGCAGAACAGTAGGTGATCTTAACCATCTCCAAGGAGATTGATTAAATGGCTCCAATCCAGTTTAAAATGCTTATCATTTTACTGAGATACTCAGCAAACACGACAACAATATTCCATGCCTGTAGTAATTTATTTATTTTTTTTTAAATAGAACTGGGTCAAATTCTAAAGTTGTTATAACACATAAACTATAAAGAACCAAAATTAGTAAAAAAAAAAATAAAATGTTGTTACAAAGACGTATATTCAGTGTTAGATACCACTCCTCACTAAAAAGGTCCTGCGTTAAGCAAACGTACTTATTTCAACAACCAGGATGAGGCATTAAGATAGATAATTGGATAGTATTCTTGAAAGTTTACTTCTTTTACTTGTATTAACACAGGATAGAAAGGGATTAACTATTTTTGGCACATATAAAATAAACAGCATGCAAGAAAGTAAACAAAAACATGTACTTACGAAATCAAAGTCTCCATCTTGAGGGACTTTCCAGTTATCGGGGAAAACATTTTTGGATATGTGGTAAGGTTCATGCATGTTCTGATTACAGTTTTCAGGGCTTTTATTCTTGGAATCCTGTTTATCAAAGTAGTCCATGAAAGAAGGTCTTTGAACTTGCGGTGAAGTAGCATTTCCTTAGTTGAAAGCAAAAAGAAAAGAAGAGTTAAAACTATTTAAAAATCAAATATTTACTGCACTACAAAATAAACTCCATTTATTAATTGTCTTGGATTTTAAAGAAACTAATATAGTCATCTGTGTCTGGTGCAAGCCTCCATTTGTCCCCTGAGAATCTTTGGCATAAAAGCTCATAGCCGAAGAATGATATTTTTGTAGCAAGATACAATGTGGAGAAATGTTCAAGACATTTCAGAGTTGCACATACAAATAATATTAGAAGTTACTTCATGTGATATCTATTTGTTGTTATAGAGACTGAATAACACAAGGTGGTAAGCATCCCTTTGGGTGCTGAATGCCCCTAACTTCAAGGCCTGGTCCACAGGCACTTGTAGGAAAGCAACTGAGTTCCATCAGTTTCACCAAAGACGCGATTTAAAAATTATTTAGAAAAAGAACTTGCAAAAAACCACCACATAAACTGTGTCTAGACACTGCTTAACTAAATTCATTGCCAGTGAGGATTCTCAGCAAATTATGGGATCACACTCTACAGATGGCTGCGAAGCACCCTATCTCCATGGTGTGGAAACCCTGGGGGATTTTTGTCATCATCTATGCGGCTGCAAAAGCTTTACGAAGCAGATTGAGATCAGCGTGAACTCCCGTTCTGTTATCCTCTTCGTGAAAGTAAATGTAAAAAAAAATTATATACAACCCTAAACGACTGAAATTTGTTTTCTTTGTGGGATTTCAAAGCAAGTTCATTACTAAATAGAACAATAAATAAAACGTAAGAAATGCTTTAATAGTTCTTCATAACTATCACCTCAGAGACTATATTCTGTATAGCACTGGCTCATGAAACACGTACTTGCTTGCAGTGTAACACATTCTACATAGAGAAACATGAAATATATTTCCACAAGTAAAATATGAAACAGGATGCGAAACATAACCAAGCTAAAACAAAAACAAAACAACCCACAATAGAATTATACTTTTTTAGTTACAAGCATAATAAAATAATTAAGAAATTTTATTTGAACTATTTGTTTTAACAAATGAAAAGGAAAAACACTGGAAATATCTTTTGAGCTTGTGTTTAACGTGACCACTAGGACTTGCTGATCTTCATATCTAGCGTTATATTTGTTTTTACTAATTCGCTAAGTGGTTGGGGTTTTTTTGTTCCCCTCCTCTTTCACCTCATTTCATCATCTCTCCCTGTGGTAATCTATTCCCTCTGACTCAAGATTTCTTTAATTCATTCTTATTTTGCTGCATGGTTAATAGTGGCCTATTTTTTTCATTAACGCTTATTTTTGTACTGCCATCTTTTATAGCATATTGACTTGTTCTTTTCTACATCTTCTGTTCTAGTAAGATTTCTTCCGGCTTTTTGAATGTGGTATTCTACTGTCTTATGATCCAGGCTTTACTGCACTGCACTCCAGTTGCTTCTCTTCAGCTCCACAATGATTCCTCCATTCAGTCTGCCATCTTTCCATACACACCATCTCCTCCCCACATTTTTTTAGCCTATTTTTCTCTCAGTTTTTGCCATATTCTTTTCTAATATTCTCTTCTAATCCCAGATCATAGTTATCTCTACTCACCATCTTTTAATTAATGACAACTACAACCATACAAAAACATTCAGTGAACTAAACTCCAGATAGAGTTTAACAGATCACATGGGAGATTCTAGAGAAGAGGTATCTGCTAAGTTTGCCCCCACTGAATTCAAGATCACTTGAATAAGGTTTCTGGATGTCTTGAGTCTGGGACTGAGGAAGGGATAAGAAGTAAACAGCAGGGATGCCAAATAACTACAGAAATAATCCCTAAAGGGCAAAAATGGAAGAATCTAAACTTCAGCAAAACATAAATTTAGAAAACAGATCCAAGAGAAGGTAGTAGTATGAAGGGACTGGAATTAAAAACAGAAATACAATACATTTTCTTAATACAAACATTTTATTACTTGCTGATCGCTGCCCAAAACCCCTGAAACTATTTGTACCAAAAAGATAGGACACCACATTGCCAGCCTTTCAAAACCAATATTTCTCTTCTTCTGAAATGGTTGTACTTAGGTTTCATCCTTGAGACATACTTATAAACAAGATTACCAGTGTCTCTGTTAGAAACTCTGAGGTACCAAAAAGTTGGCCCGTTACAGGTAAGATAGTCTCCTTCCTCTCATGTAATAGAAAATACTTATGATTTTCCAACAGCTGCTCTTAAGTTTTAGAGCTATTTATAAATATCTTCCTTATATATGTAATAGAAGATTGCCTACATGCGTAAAACAAACCAACCCCTCCAAATTCCTAGCTATCAAATGCATATTAAGGAAAGTGGGTCAACAGGCCTGAAGTTACACTGAAATGAGCAAAATACATTTATTTTACACTTTGAGGACTTGTTCTATTTGTTTTGATAAATAAGAATTTAAAACTCACTTCTGATTCCAATTTAGTATACAGTTAGCTAACCAATTTAAAAGAACAAGAGCTGCTTTTTTCACTGCAAATATAAAAATTCACACGCAAAACCAGAAATATTATGCCTGCAAAACAATGGGACTAGAGATGCTGCAAGGTTTGGTTTTTCCACAATGTAAAAATGTAAGATTTAGTTAAAAGTTTATTTTTAAGGTTTTATTTTATTTTTACAAATAATAAAATGAAAAAGAGACTCTTTTTTAGACCTAACACGAACAAGCTGAGTTAATATTTCAGAGAAAATAGGATAGGTTGACACCTACTAGTTTAAAGGCCCTGTGAAGGCTCCTACCTCTTTTGTATTGACTTTACAAAACACCCAGGCTTTTTATGCCAGAATAAACTGATGTAGGTTGCACTTTTTTGTGAAATGTAAAGTTATTAGAAGATCATTTTGATCTGAAAGCACTTTTTCTAACTTCCACGAACAACGGAGTAACGATACCTTATTGACTGTCTTTCAAGAACCAAGAAATTTAGAAGTACAACACAAAGATTCCTTTAAGGACAGTTAATTCACTAAACTATCCAATAAGTTACTTTGTACACAAACTGTATACATAATTTGCCACAAAAAAATCTGTAGCACAACCAGTATCCCTCCACACTTGCACTGAAAACCTATTGTGCAATAGCCTGTTTCATTCTGCCTGGAGAAGAGAAGGCTCCGGGGAGATCTTATTGCCGCCTTCCAGTACCTAAAAGGGGCCTACAGCAGAGCTGGGGAAGGACTTTTTACTAGGGCATGTACTGACAGGACGAGGGGGAATGGCTTTAAACTGGAAGAGGGCAGGTTTAGATTAAACATTAGGAAGAAATTTTCCACTTTAAGGGTGGTAAGGCACTGGCACAGGTTGCCCAGAGAGGTTGTTGAGGCCCCATCCCTGGAGGTGTTCAAGGCCAGGCTGGACAACCTGGTCTAGTGGGAGGTGTCCCTGCCCATGGCAGGGGGGTTGGAACTCTATGATCTTCAAGGTCCTTTCCAACCTAAACCATTCTATGATTCCGTGATTCTAGGAGGATTTGGATTTTCCAGTCATTCTCATTTTAGTTTGATCTTCAACACAAGATAATCATGTTTAAAAATGTTTGCTGCAGTTTCAGCATTTAAGAACACAAGTCTCTTATCATCCCCATACTTGCCCACTCCAGGACTTCAGGATGGCTTTGGGAAGAAAGTCACAATAAAACCAGCAGGCTGAGAAATTGCTGGCAAGCCACGGAACAGAGAGACCGCCATGGACACTGAAAACATACATTCTACCTCAGCAATACCCCTAACAGGAATACAGCCAATCGGGATGTCCCCAAATAGTTATGTAAGAGAATTTCTTCCCCAAAAGTATGCTGGATAAAAATAATGAGGCAATGACATAACACAACACCAACTCTATTACACTGTTTCAAAACATATCACAGCTAAAATAATTCTAAACACACATTTCAAAATAAGAAGGAATACACATTCCATTCTAATGCATGTTTTGATCAAATTCAATTGATGTAATCTATAAAGAAAAATGCTTTTGTAGTGATGTATTTCCAACAGAAGAGTATTATATTAATATTAAATTGATTTTAAATCCATTTGAGAGTTCTGTTGTTAGTTGTTAAGTTTCTATACTCTGTGTTGGTCTGAGCCACGTATACATTCCCCCATGGTAGTCTGGCTAACTCAGGGCCAGCTTGTTTGCAAAAAACATGCTTGCCTAACTTTGTCAGGTGGAACCCATCTCTCCACAGCAGTCCCTGATCCTCAGAGAGGACCCCACGGTCATAAAAGTCAAACCTCTGTCAACAACACCAGAGGCACAACTAAGTATTGACCCATAGGATCCATCCACTCCTCCAAGGCTTTCCCTTCACCATCATGATCAAGAACATCCTCACAACCCTGGAGTTACTCTTCAGGTCACTCTCAAGGTCTCCTCTGGCAGTATCACTGGCATATGCCCCCATGGATGGGCAGCAGGAGACAATCTAAGCAACGGGCAAGCCCTGGCAACCTTTCAAGGTTGTGGGGCTGGGCCATGGGCAAGAAATAACTTTTCCTAGATAGCAAGTAAGGTTAGCAGATAAGGGCATCCATCTCCTACGGGAGTCTCCAATTTCATGGGAGCAGGTGGGTGGTGGTGGCAGTATTTTGCTTGTTTGGGATTTTTTTTTTACAATTTCTTATAGGAAGTCTCTAAGTCCTTCAGTCTCTTACTACCAGGACACTGGACCTCTCCCACAGCTGCAAATCTACAGAGCAGAGCCTTCCTCATTTTTCCAAAAGGCACAAGCTTCCACAGCCTTCCCCATCCCGGGGATATCCACCTGCCACTCAACTGAGGAATATTTCCAGCTACTGCCTCTTCAGTGAAGTTAAGAGACCGGGCTCTCCTGTCAGCAGTACTTCTGCAAAGATCCTGTCAGTATCTTTATTCCCTCAAAATACATTGTTTTGTCACTATTAGAGTGAGAAGCTGTACTGCAATCAGCTTTTAGCCTTCTTTGGACTATCACCTCTTCCACAAAGGCTAGAACAGCTTATACAACAACATATACTACTTAGGCTTCATATTTCATACATTCATACCACTACTTTCTCACCACACAAGGTAGCCTACAACACAGTGACATTTCTGCGAAATGGGAGACAGAAGCTTTGAATACAATAAGGTTGAAGAGAGCCTGGAATTTTGACCTCAGTCTCCGGGCAAACACACTGAACAGTGAACGACCATGTAGAAAGCTGCCACAGCCACCTCCTTCAGCCATATTTTAAGCAGAAATTGTCACTGTATTTTTATGAGTGGACGAGTTCTGTTGCTCATACACACCTATTAGACAACCACCTCAGAGAATGAGAAGTCAGTCTACTTAGTTTCTGAATTGCAATGAAGCATTGGCAGAAACTAGATGACCAGTTCCTTAGGCCAGAGCAGCTGGGAGTCTACCAAAGGATTTACCTAAGAAATGTTTGACTACACAAAGGTGTGTAACAGAGTGGTTACCAAGTTTGCAGTTTTCACATCATAGTGACTTATGCACTGAAGTCTTCATTCAAATTCAGGCCTCATTCAGTATTTTATTTGTTTTATAATATACCTTTTCATCAGAAATAATTGCAAATGGCATTTAAATGGTAATTCCACATATTTTTCAACCAGCTGAATCCTTCACAGACTGTTTGAAGGACTATGTACTCAAGTTTAAGGGCTTTTTAATGGGGAAGAGCTTCCTGTACAAAACATTAATTTGCTTCCTGAGAACGAGACTTGTAAGACTAGTTTAATAACTTCTGTTCTATTTTTCCACCTCCTGGAGAATAAAAAAAAAAAACACTCAATGACACTACTATTATAAACCCATTAGTTCTTTCCAGCTGAGTTATACTTTATTTCAGCTTTCAACAAAACAAAGAAAATCATCCATGTTAAGCTAGCATTTTGCAACAGCTCTTGAAGCAGAATTGCCAACATGATGTTTTTCCTTTGAAAAAAAATCCCATTTGTAAAAGACACTACTACTAGTGGCATAAATGAACAACTTTTATTACCAATCACAGGAGAGGGCTCGAGGACTGGAACAGGCTTCGAAATACTCAAGAGTGTCACCTATGGGGGAGGAGGGAGGGGAAGGAAACCTGCTGTCCCAAACAGTATATTCTTCTGTTTGACAAGAAGAAAGAATGTTTAAGAATTATACAGACTAAACCAAAGACATTTTATGTCTTATACGGCAAAAAGTAATAAAACAAAAACCTGACCACTTTTCTACATTCTGCCACTTGATTAGTTCACTGTCCTCCTCTTTTACCAACCATGAATCATCTAGAAGCTTCACTGAAGCCTAAAGTAACAGTTAGAAATCCAATATAAGTCCAAATCGCAAGAAGAGGCAGCTTGTTTTCCAGCCCCAAAGCAAACAGCAAATACACCTTTAACGTGACGGGGGGCAAAAAAAGGGGGTAGGTGTGTTAATGAAAAGGAGAAAGGGGAGGTACTCTTGGTGAACCAGAAAGCCCTAAAAGCCCTAACACTAAGCCTTGCTGAAAAGCCACAAAGGGAATGCAGGGAAGCTGGTCTGAATACCAGTCTCTGAATTGAGATAGAAAAAAGCTTTTACACGAAAATAAGTACAATCCGAGCAGCTGAACAAAAGTAGTACTACCTTCCATCAATCCCACTCCTTCTTCCACTCTATGTTACGCCTCCTAAAGTTAAGATCTGTCCTCCCACCTCTCTGTATTGTGCATTTTCTTCCTTCCTTCTAGGTACATACTGCATAGTCCCTGCTCAGAGCATGCACAGGCCTACTAAGCAAGGAAGCATAAATGTTGTTTATTGCTAGGCTGTATATTGTATGTTGGGGTAGGATGACAGGCCTCTTTTTGTTCCAAATACCAATTTTATCCGGGCACAATTCCCTATTTGTGAAAAAAATATGGTTTTAGTTATTTTCTGTCATGGCTCCCAGAGGCCTCTAAGCATGGGCATTTATAAATAAAAACCTATTATTGTTTCTCATTTTGTCCTTGAGCAGGGAAACAAAAGGCAGAAGGAAACAAAACATGAAACTAAACACAAGAGCAATTAACAAAAAAAAAGTAGTTTGTCACAAATATTTTGTGTCTCTAGGAAGGAAATGAAATCCCTCTTCCCTACCTAACTCAGTTTATTTCTCCAAGCTTCTTGCTTGCAATGTTCTAATATTCAGAAGTATCAAAGAGCACTTTTAAGCTACCTGTTCTGATATATTATAATCAAACCACACAAACACCTAGAAAGTGTCCACCTTGCCTATGAAGGTACACTGGAAAAAGCAACCAATCTCCAAAATCTCGTGTCTTTTTAAAGCACAGAGAGGCACAAAATCTATGTCTGCCTCTCAGGAAGACCAAGGATTTGTATGTCCCTTCTTGGTGACACTTATTTAGGTCACTTGCTATTGCTCCTGTTTCAGCCAATACCACGTGAATCACAGAACCAGAGGAGTACCAGCTACAGTGGACATGATTTATATTTGTTTTGTTGCCTCCCAGCTGAATGATGAAACCATCACTTGCCATCAGGCTACCTCCAGTTTGCTGGCTTTCCTTCGATGGAGGTACAGGTCTCAAGACAGTCACCTGTGGGGGGGATGGAGGGGAAGGAAACCTGCTGTGCAAAAGGTTATGTATTCTTGTTTGACAAGAAGGAAGAATGGGTTTAAGAATTATACTGACTAAATGCCAAGGTGTAGAAAGGTAATTCCCTTTCTAACTACAGATTGGTACTGGAATCAATTAAAAATGGAAAACAACAGTACATTTTAAAAACAATGTCTCCAGCAACATAGCAGACAAATAGGACATGGATAAGAGACTGCAGTGCAAACCTAATGACACTTTTTTGATCTGTTTGGCATACTAACAGAACTACACGGATAGCTATCAAGCCTGAAGTGATTTGAAAGGCCACACAAAACCTTACTTCATAATACTTCCATACTAAGAATTACTTTATTATCCTTTACTCCAAATTTGCTTGAAATACCCTTCTTTTTTCCTTTTTTTTGCATCATTCATCTTTTCCTCAACTTGTTGAAACTGACGAGTTCAAGATAGCTTGTACTAACTCTTTTAGCCTCACAGTTTAATCGGCAAATACTCTGATCCAGCACAAAAACAAATTAAAGCACATACTGAGTGTTTTCATGAGGTGAATCATCCTACTTAAACTAATCACTAATCAGCAGGTACATTTGCTATCTTATTGCTGAGAATAGTAGGAAAAAAACCCCAAACCAACAAAACAAATGACAAAAAACAACAACAAGATCAAGAAAAGCCTTCCTTCCTTTCAATTTGCTGTACATTAAACCACAAAGAAAACATATTCCTGCTTTGCACTTCCAACTAATCTTGCACAAATTACAACAGGTGTATATGTGCAAACACAAATGCAACTTTATGTATGCTATAAAGCATTCAACAAAACTATTTTTTTGGCACTGATTTCCACTCTTGAGACATTAGCTTTATTTATTACCTCCCCCCTATGCCCCAAACAATTGCCTGGACTTAAACATTACATTGTACTGAAATGAGGCACCTACAGCCTGAGTAAGATTCATCTATTGATGCTGCCCATTCAAGCAAATAATTCTATTAAATTCAGCAGGCCTCATTCTGCAGTAGTCTTCAGCCAAATAATGAGCACATCAATATGTAGGTACATATTGTTAACTATTTAACAAACAGCTATTTATGCATACTTAGGTGTAACTTATAATTTTATACTTTAAGACATTTGCAAATTTTTTTCCTCTGTTACATGCTCCCTCACATGCTGCTGAAGTCAATTTCGACTTTTTACTTAGGTTTCAACCATCTTTTGATCACTGCCTTAAATCAAGCATTATAGAATTCCAACATGTGTTCAAATAATAACATTCAGTTATAAAATAAAAATCTGATAGTTGATCACGAGTTACAAGACAATTTTGCAGCAAGATGCGTACTGATTGCTGAACCCATGGAGAGTCATGACGAGTTCTCAGGACTACTGACCACTGCAGCAGCTTCTCACGTAATCACATCACTTTAGTTTAGCTCCAAGGAACCGGTCCAAATGTATGTGAGACAGGAGGCAAAAAAGCAAGAGACAAGCAGTAGAAGGGAGAATTCACAGAAAGCTAATTTTAGAGTCCTCCAGAGAGACTTCGCAAAGCACCAAAACCTGGCTTCTGCTTTGAATCTCCCACAATAGTCACCTTTTTATCCACAACCTATAGAGAACAAACACTTAGAGACACAAATACCCCTCTCCTCCTGTTTTAGCCACAGAACTTGACACTTAAAAGCCACTGATGATATATTTCTCATACAGTATGAGAAAACCTAACAACTTACTTTTCATGGTCCCATCTTCCTCTTCATCGTCATCACTATTTATTACCATGGTCCCCAAGTCTGATTCTAACATAGTACTGTTGTGTTCAATCATTGTCTGAGCGCCTTCACTCATTGTGCTTGTGGCTCTCATGGTACCAGCACTCTCCGAACTGGTCTTCACCATGGTGTGAGAGTCCAGCTCATCTTCATCCTATCAAGAGACATTGGTCAGAATGCAGCAGATCATTTAAAAAAAAAAAAAAAAAAAACCAAAGTTAAGAAGCAATCATTTAGGTGCTTATTCATTAGTTTTATACTTTCATGTGACCTAGGTGTACTGCTAGGCTTCCAGGTTTAAAACTTTAACAGAAATTACAAAATAAAAAATGTTGCATGTTAAGGAAGAATAAAAATGTTCTTTCTCAAAGATGTACAGCCAGCAGGGTGGATATACCAGAAACGTGGCCCACATACCCACTTTGCATCAGCAGCCAGTTTTGGGTAGCTCGGTGATTTTCATGAACCATTATACCTTTATTCCAGTGTTTGGTGACCCATTATTATTCCAGTTTTTGGTGAAACACTGGAACAGGTTGCCTAGAGAGGTGGTAGATGCCGCATCCCTGGAAGCATTCAAGGTCAGGTTGGGCAGGCTCTGAGCAACCTGATCTAGTTGAAGGTGTCTCTGCTCATTGCAGGGGAGGTTGAAGTAGATGACCTCTAAAGGTCCCTTCCAACACAAACTATTCCATGATACATCATTGGGTTCCAAAATCAGTACCACATTTTTAGAAAGCAGTTGGTTGTTTTGCAATGGACTATCACTGAGGATTTGTGCTGATCACCCTTAACCAAGTATCACGCCTAGCATCTCACATTATGCACAGCAGTCAGATGACAGACACCTGTTCAATTTAGGTATTAAAAAATCCTCCAGAATAGTTTTGGAAGTCCGTCTCAGAAACAAAATCCACTTGGCTTACTTCATATATTTAGTTCTCTTTACGAACCTCTGTCACAAGAGTAAGCAAAATACCTTGTTCAAATTATGCAGAAAAATATCTGTAGAGCATATACTTAACCACTAAGTAGGTGAGGGAGCCAATATCATTAAGAGATACAAGAGCATTTTAAATCAGTGACAATAATGGGCCAGGAATGTGAAAGAGAGAACTAATGACAGTCCAGTCAATGAATTATAAAATTCATATGCAATATCAATATTTGAAAACATTAATAGGAAATCCTACTACTTTACAAAGTCTGATTTAGATTATACGCACGCCATCTCAGCATTTCAGGAATAACGTGATGGACCATACACATTTTCTATAGAAGTAAAGTCTATTACCAAAGCAGGGAAAAAGAAACCCAAACCACCAACAAAAAAAAACCCCAAAAAGTAAACAAACAAACAAAACACTAAAAAAAAAAAACCCACCAAAATTTAAAAAACTCACCCAAGCCCCAAAACCCTAGAAGGTCTGGCACTCTCCATTTCTTGCTGATCGCGTTCCTTACCTTTCCTGTTATGTTATTCCCTGACACAGCAGCAGACAATTTGCCTCAAGTATAGGCATAAGTGCATGACCCAGCTACATTGCCTAAGTGCCTGTATCTCTGTTGGTCTAAGCAGATACTGAGAACTGTAGTTAACAGCAATACCAATACACCAGCTCCTGAAAATTATTCTATTACATCTCAACTAAGAGACAGAAAAACAGATCTAATTTTGATTCAGAGTCTAGCTAACAGCATAACATACTGAAACAGATCTAAATCTGTGATTAAAACTTCAAATGCCAAAAGAATCATCCTTTTCTAGATTATAATTTGTAATATTAAAGTTCTTCATTTGCATTCTTTCTGGGTTTTTCAGTTGCATTCTACAATACTATATTTAGTACCCTACCCTTAAAATTTTATGATATTCCCAAAGATACAGATAGTTTACAGCTACAGCACTAGAGGACTGTGCCAGTAAATAAATTAGAATATTTTAGTACTGCTCCTCCTGGTGGCAACTTTAATTTTCTTTACTTCCCTTGCTCCCCACAACATTCTTGCTAGCCCCAGTAGTTTTTACAAATTATATTTTTCCCTTTCTAACAAGGCTACTTGTAAAGTAAAGTCCAGAAGTGTCATTTTGCATTGCCAGAACAATTAAGTTATTTCCAAGTGCTTCTCAGTACTGCAATACAATGCAAAAATGATTCACAACGTACTGCTGTTTCCCTTATTAAGTGCTACAAATTTTGATCACTAGTGTTTTCCCTAGGTCAGGAATGATGTACTGAGAGAGAGGCAACACAAAGTTTTTTGGGAGGTCTGTGCATGCCCCAAAATAATTAATTCTGTGTGTTAAGCCAGATTGCTTCCAGAACTATCATTCCGGTACTTCTCACAAATATGAGATTTAGCTAATATGGCAGTAGACTATACTGGATCTGAAAAAAGTAACTTTATAAAAATATCCAGTGGATCCAAGTTATGTATGTGCACGTCGACACAAGAGATGAAAGTGATTCCTTCATACAAATTCTGATTCATGCTTTACAGTTTGTAAATACTGATGTAGAACAACTGATCTGTTGTTAAAAAGGGTACTCACTGATCAAATAAAAACACACACAATCTCAATTTTAACCATGAAAAAAATATAAGGTATTAAAGCTCAAGTGTCATGTTCTCATACTGTTTATGAAGACAGATCCAAGAATCAAGCAATAAAACAAGCTAACTCTGGAATTAAACTGTCTGCTGTTCTCTTGTGCACAAGTAATAAGCACCAAACTTGTATTTGCCAGGGGTTTCTGATACACCAGTAGACAGCAAAAGAAAGAGTGCATGAGTGAGTGCACTAGTATCTCTTGAAGTTTTACAGAAAATACATTAAACTACAGAAAATACATTAAACTACAGAAAATACATTAAACTACAGAAACTCTGAGCAACATTACAGCATAAAGTAAGTACAAGTAAAACATGACCAATACCCTGCAAGGGGACTAACTGTTTAGAACTCCTTATTTACCAGAGTAAGTTAGAAAGTTAACAAAATCAACCCTTAAAGCATGAAAATGCAATCATAGAGACTTGATTATCAGGACAGCCAATTAAAAAAAGGCTTCAGCGTAAACAACACACAAGACTTCACAATATGCTTGTAACATAAAAGATGTCTTCCTCACACGAGAAGTTTTCTCAGAAAAGATGGCATTGCATGTCATACTCGAGTCTACATCATGACAGCAAATGAGCCGAGATGATAAAGATTAATGCATTATTCTGTTGCATTTTTAACATTCATAGGAAAAAAAGGGATGAAGACCGATAAAGAAAAAAACTAAACAAGACAAGCAAATATGGCAGCTTGCCTTTAAAATTATCTTTAACTATGGTTTGTGCATGTAAAAAGAACACTAGAGGGCACCAGAGACAGCTAACTAGGCTGCAATACATGAAAAGAAGATTTACATGCTGGCAAAATTCAGTATCCTGTAAAATAATTTCATTTACTATTAACACCTCATCATCACCTTTGAAAAACGTGGCTGTAGTTACAGCTATCTTTTTGTAAAAGCACTGTAGTAGCTACATAAACACATAATATAGTTTGGTCAAGAACAAGGATTTTGTAGAAGTTCCTAACATGTACAAAGCCCAACTACAACCTGAGTATACGCTTAATACTGAGCACACATTTAAGCTTAGACCCATCAGCAAAACAGGTAAAGACTTAACTCAAATCCTGTCAAATTAAATAGACATATGTCACAAAACAGCCCTGAAGCTTGTTTTCTATCTCCTTCTAATTGATACAGCTAGTAACAACAACTTGCTGCTCACAATTACCTCCCTGTTTACTCTTCCTATAATCGGTTTCTGGCTCTAAATTGCTGTGGGTTTTAACAATATGCTCTTATGCCCTTTGGATAGCTATATTTCACTCGAAAAAGTAATCTTTACATATTTCTAACTTAAGGACACTTAAAGGACTGCAATCAAATTTAATTAGCACATATGATAAGTGTTCTTTGGCTTGTAGGAAAAATGCTACAAAAACAAAAGTTTTAACACTGTCAAAGTTACACATATATACATACAGATACATAGATACATCGTATACATGAACACATGAAAGATGCATGAAAGTAAATATAAAAACCTTCAGGAAAATACAGCCTGGTGTATCAGATTTAAAATATAGAATAACTCAAATGACTCACTAGTTCCTATAAAATAACTATATAAATATTGTAAGAAATATAAAGGAATAATTATAGCAATTATTTCTTAAGGTCTCAAAAGACAGACACCAACTTCTCATAATTAATATATAATTAACCAAAGAAACTTTTGTATGAATGAATAAATAAGCCAACATATAGGAATAACTGATTATTGATGGTTGGCTAAGTTGTTGATAGTTGTCAACCACTAAGTGTATAAGAAAAAAAAAAAAAAAAAAAAAGGACTGAAGTAGTAATTCCTTGTTTGAATATTCTAAAATAATTAAGCATTCCTTACACAATAGAGACATTAAAATGTAAAAGAAAACATACAGGAAGAGCTGCTTGTTAGCTCATTCCTTTAAAGATCCACAGAAATAAATATTTAGACATGTTTCCTGCGAGCTGCCAGGCAACGAGTTACTTTACATTCCCATAATACTGCTGTCCAGCCTCAGCATCCAATTCGCATCACACTTCAAAAAATGTACAAGAGAAGAGATTGGTCATGTTTAGTAATGCCTAAACTAACATTTAAACTTTGATATTGGGATTAACCTTCTGTAGAATACACCACTTGCAATTTTTGCTTAATTAAAAAAATCTGTACAATTACCTCAGCACCTATCAAAACATGTCAGTTTGTCAGAAGGCATTCTCATCACACGAGCAGCTCTCATAACAGGCATAAAACCAGTTCAGAGCACACTCACACTATTTATAATGATATTATCTCTCTCTGGAAGGATACAGACATGAAGACCGTATTCTATTATCTCTCTCTGGAAGGATACAGACCGTATTTGACCTGGCCATTTATTTATGGCTGTATAATATGAAGGTTTGAACAGCAAAAAATATATTTATGCTACAATTGACAACTTCACATACTATAAAATGTTCACAGGAAGTGGTAAAAACGAAAAATAAGAATCAATTTTAGGGATGTGACTCTTCTTCGTCTGAACGAAAACAATCT